GGCCATGTCCAAGCTTCGCCTAGTAGGAGCTGCGCTGCCAAAACGCGGTACACGTCACATGTATCGCTTTATGTCCGTGAATCTTCCAAGAAGGTACAGTGCCGAGAAGGCTCAAGTGCACTGGGTCAAGTGCACTTTCAACTTCCTAATCTTTTGAAGACTCTCCTGATTCCCACAGTAGCTGTCCAGTTTACATTCCCACCAGCGTCAAAGCTGCCTTTTCCTACTTTCTCAGAAGACCCAGTTGCAGCGTCCAGGAAGCACATCTGGCCCTCCCCAAGCCTCAGGCAGCCGGGGGAGGGAAGCTCCGGGCTGTGCTCCCCACCTGGCTTCACTTCCCTCTCCCTTCTGCTCCACAGCGCGGCTGAACCTGAACGAAGTAGAAAACCAGTGGCGACTAAACCAGCTCAACAACGCCGCCACCGCCCTGGTCTTCATCACTGTGGTTTTTAACGTTTTCATCACAGCCTTCGGGGCACAGAAGACGGGCTTCCCGGCTGCCAGGGCCTCCGGGGGTCCCCTCTGAAGAAGCATGGAACTTGGTGAGGAGGAGCCTGGGGTCCCCAGGTGGCCCTGCACTCACCCGCTTGGGGCTGTGGGGTCCCAGGGAGGCCCCCTCTGGGGTGGTCCTTGAAGGATGAAAGGACTCCGCAGGGCCTGCCCTGAGCCCTTTCTTGGGCACTGGTGGCTTCTCCCTCAGCCAAGGGCGCAGACCATTCCGCAGCCTAAGATGGGCTGTGGGGGAATCCAGGGCCTGGGGTGTGATCCCCAGCCTTGGGCAGCTCTATCACAACTCTCCCTTGCTTCCCCCACAGAAACTGGGTCCAGAACTGCTTCTCTCCTTCCTCCCAGACCTGCCGGGCTGATGGCATTTTCCTCCGTCCTTGGGCTGTACAAGGGCCCTTGGCCCCCTCGCAGCTCCTGAACGATGCTCCGCTGGGTGAGATGACCGGACAAGGTCTAAAGCCCTGAGCACACTCGATTCTGCCCTCCTGGGATTCCTTCCCAGGCAGAATCCTGACTGGAGGAGCTGTGAATCCCGCTCTCTGTTCCCTCTCTGGCTTCTGCTCCAGGCTGTTTCCTTTCTGTAAAATGAATTCTTTCCCTCCATAAAGACTTCTGCAAAGCCACTCTGAGTCCATCTTTTGTGGTTAGGGCTAAGGCTCCAACCCCAGGGTGGGCATCTGCATGCGCTTTCTTTCAGGGTCGTAGAAGGAACTTTTAGGACCTTATAGGTCCTAATCTGTAGTGGATTACAGATGAGCCACTTCCTGACTGATCAGACAGGGTGTGATCAAAACATACAGGGAAGGGTTCAATTTAAAGAATTTTTCAAAAAAAAATTTTAAAAAAAGAATTTTTCAAAATAAATAATTTATTAAAAATGTATGGGCCAGGGAGATGGCTCAGTAGAATAAGTGTTTCCCTGGCAAGTGCAAGGGGCTGAGTTCAATCCCCGGTTCCACCAAAAATAATAAATAAATAAAATACAAATAAAAATGCAGAAAGAATTTATTACAACCAAAGACACATTGTACCCCAGTGTGGTGGCACACCCATGTAATCCCAGCATGGGCTGAGCTAGGAGGATCTCTGAATTTTAGACTAGCCAAGGCCACCTAATGAGCTCAAGGATGCCTTGGCTACATAGAGACCTTGTCTCAAACCCCCTCCCCAAAATACTTTGCTATTAATCTCTTTTGCTTCAAAAACACTAATCCCAGGGCAGGCAAGATAGCTCAGGGGACTAAAGTGCCTGCTCAGGGGGGCCCAGCCCTAGCTCAGTTCTTTAAGTGGCTGCTTCCACAATGCTGGCAGCCTCAGTTTGCTGTAGTTCGATGCCCACAACACTCCAGCCATG